AGAATAGTGATTTTTAATGACAAGGTTACAAATTTATTTAGACAAACATTTTGGGATGTCCGTTACTGTGAAGCGCTCTCTGTTGAAAATATTTTTAACCCTTGAAAGTAGGATGTTTGTCAATTTTTGTCCAGTTTAAACCATTCTTGAAATAAGGAGAAGTCATCATTCCACTGCAACAAGGAATGTAAAGGTTACTACAAATTTTTATAAAGAGTTAGAAAGGATTTAGAAAAAAAGTTTTACAAATTACCTTGAAAATTTAGATATAAGATCCAACCTTTAATCTAACCTTCAATTTAAAAAAAATTTTATTTAAATTGGTTGAAATTTCCGATGTCTACATTGCATTTACGGAATGCGGCCCCTCAATTGACAGATTGGCTCAAATTTTGAAGATAATTCCAAAAAACTGATTTCGAGTATTTTGAGTTTTTGTTACTTGAGTTTTTTTGCAATTATCTCAAAAAATTGAGCGAATCTAACAATTCTGACTTGGGATTCGGATTCAGCGGGAAAAATACATGGAAATAGATTAATGTAGTGTCTCGGCCAAATAGGGGTGCGTTCACGTAACTCTCACCCACACTCTCACTCAAAAATTTTTCTCTCTCACTCTCACACTCACTCAAAAATTTTTCACTATCATTCTTACTCTCATTCAAAAATTCTTCACTTTCACTTCCCACTTCCACTCAAAAATTTTTCATTATTACTTTCACTCTCACTCAAAAATTTTTCAATCTCACTTTCATTCTCACTCAAATATTTTTCTCTCTCACTCTCACCCTCACTCTTACTCTTTTCCAAAAATTTTTCACTCTCACTCTCACTCACTCAAAAATTTTTCACTAAAACTTTCACTCAAAAATTATTCCCTCTTACTCTCACTTAAAAATATTTACTCTTACTTTCACTCAAAAAGTTTTCACTCTCATTTTCAATAAAAAATTTTCCCTGTCACATTCATTGTAAATAGAAATTTTTTTCTCTAACTCTCACATTAAAATTTGTCTCTCTCACTTTCACTCAAAAATTCTTCCCTTTCACTTACAATTTTCAGCTTAACTAAAAAATTCCTTTTCATTTCAATTCAGAAAAATTTCACTCGGACTCCCACACATAATTTCATTTTCACTTTCGAACAAAAATTTTCACCTTTACTCCAACATTCACTATAATTTTTTCTCGCATTTTCAATTACACTTTGAAAAAATTTTCAATTTCATGAAATTTTTTTTGTTTTCACACTCACTTTATCACTTTCAATTTTATTAAAAAAAAATTTTTCTTACTTAATCTTACACTCTTACTTTACCTTTTACTAAAGTTTTAACACTCTCTGATACTCTCTTTCAATTTTACTATTTAATCTGAAAATACGTACCTTTTTTGTCTTCGTATAATGTAACAGTATATACTTATATAAACAATAGAATTTAACACTATTAAAAAATAACAATTTTTAGTTCAAATAAAATTGAATTGATTCGCAGTTATGTGACGAATTATTAATTTTAATATTAATCGTAATTAATAATAATATTAATTTTAATAATACAATAAAAAATTAAATAAAAAAATACTTAAATAATAATAAATAAATTTATAATAAACTTGTGATTACTGAAAATGAGTGACAGAAAGAGTGAAACTTTTTTGAGAGAAAGTGAGAGTGAAAAATTTTTGAAAGAAAGGGAGAGTGAAAAATTTTTAAGCGAAAGTGAGAGTGAAAATTTATTGAGTCAAAGTAAGAGTGTGAGTGAAAATTTTTAGAGTAAAAGTAAGGATAAGAGTTAAAATCTTTTAAAGTGAGAGTAAAAATTTTTTCAGTGACAGTGAGAGTGAAATTTTTTTTAAAGAACGTGAAAGTGAGAGAGAAAATTTATTGAGTGAATGTGAAAGTTAGAGTGAAAAATTTTTGAATGAGAGTGAGAATGATAGTGAAAAATTTGAGTGAGAGTGAGAGAAAAAAATTTTTGAGTGAAAGAGAAGGATAGTGAAAAATTTTTGAGTGAGAGTGAGTGCGAGAGAGATAAATTTTTGAATGAGAGTGAGAGTAAGATTGAGAGTTAAAAATTTTTGAGTGAGAGTGAGAATGAGAGAAAAATTTTTAAGTGAGAGTGAGAGTGAGAATGAGAGAGGAAAATTTTTGAGTGAGAGTGAGAAAGAAAAATTTTTGAGTGAGAGTGAGAGAGAAAAATTTTTGAGTGAGAGTGAGAGAGAAAAATTTTTAAGTGAGAGTGAGAGTGTTTTTTCAGTTTCAACTCAAAATTAAAGTGTATTTTCTTTTTATCCTGTAAATTATCATTTTCAGTAGAAAAAGAAATTGCCTTTCAAAAAACAATAAGTGATAACAATATAACTTTAACCCTTTCATGGCCAGTGGGACACATACGTCCCACCTACTTCAAAAAATCATAACTTTCTTAAAACTTAATCGATTAACTCCACTAAGATCTCATTTTGAAGGGGAGGGATAGAGTAACAAATGTAAATACATGTATTTTTTTAAAAAACTACCCTCTTTGAAATACACCCCTTCAAAAAACCCGAAAAATGAGAAAAATGAAAAAAAAGGTATAAATTTCAGAAGAAATTTTTTTTTCAGGCTTTCATAGTAACATATGTTTAAAAATATTGCAACCTTTGTAAAAAAAAATTAATATTAAAAATTCAACCCGAGGGTGCAGAAAAATAACTAAAACTACCCCTAAAAACCAAAACCTTTAAAAATTAATAAATTCGCTTGAAAATTGTTACTTGGGGGTTTTCGGGGTCGCTGATTACGAATCCGATGTCCGTTTTCAAAAATTCAAAATGGCGGATCCAAAATGGCGACCGATAATTATAAAAATTTACTAGATTCCCGTGAAACTTATCACTCGGGGGTTTTCGGGGTCGCTGATTACGAATCCGATGTCCGTTTTCAAAAATTCAAAATGGCGGAACCAAAATGGCGACCGATAATTATAAAAATTTACTACATTCGCGTGAAACTTATCACTCGGGGGTTTTCGGGGTGGCTGATTACGAATCCGATGTCCGTCTTTAAGAATTCAAAATGGCGGATCCAATATGGCGACCGATAAATATAAAAATTCACTAGATTCATGTGAAACTTGTCACTTGCGGGGTTTTCGGGGTCGCTGATTACGAATCCGATATCAGATTTAGAAAATTGAAAATGGCGGATCCAATATGGCGGACGAAATGATTAACTTTCATTAGATTCATCTGAAACTTATTACTCAGGGGTTTTCGGGGTCGATAATTACGAATATGATGTCAGTTTTTAAAATTGCAAAATAATGCTGGTGTCATTATTGCCTATTAATTTTGTAGCTTTTAGTGCCTGTTGTTAGGAGTTTAGTATGAAAATGAAAATTACAGACCCAGGCTCAATCGGTGAGGTAGTGGGAGAACGCTACACAGAGAAAACGAAACGACGCGCTGATTGCCTTATAACAGCAGTTCCACATGGGAGCTTCTTTGCTACTGTCGTACCCCCCCCCTTTCATTTACCCAATGCACTCCCCTCTACGCCATCGTGGAGGGGAGTGCATTGAGTATGTACTCAATGCATTTCTCAATATGATAATAATCAGTGAAAATTATTTTTTTGATTGTTGAAAACTGAATTCAGTATCTTATAACTTATAAATTAGGGGTGGATTTCAAGGGTAGGGGGTGAGTTTATTATTATTATCCATATCTGTGAAACATTGAAATACTTTTTTACAATTCAGAAGCACTTAGAATCCATATAATTTTTTTCATTTATTCACAAAAACATTTATCATTAAGGGGTGGTTATTTGACTTAAGGGTTGTTTTTCAGGGGTTGTTTATATTCAGTATTAATACTTAGTTATCATAGAAAATTTTTTTTTTCATATTTTCGAAAATCAGTGAAAATTATTTTTTTGATTGTTCCAAACTGAGAATAGTTATGAATTAGGGGTGGGCTTCAAGGGTAGGGGGTGAGTTTATTATTATTATTATTATTATTATCTATGTCTGTGTAACTTTCAAATAATTGTTTATAATTTAGAAGCAATTAGAATCTATAGATTTTTTTTAATCATTTACAAAAACTTTCACCGTCAAGGAATGATTATTTGACTTTAAGGGTGTTTTCAAGGGGTTATTGATCCTTTTCAATTTTTAAGCAACCAGGCAATGTTTATAAATAAATAAAAAGTAGATAAGAGCTGAAAAATATTTAATTCATCAATTTGGTTAAATATCAGTTTTTTGGGGTAGTAATGTACCGTGGGGGTGGTTTTAAGGGGTGAGACATGTTAAAAAAAATTTTTTTCTCATACTGAATACTTTAGTAATTAAATCTAATATACATTATAAGCCTAAAGTAACGACAAAAAACTCGGCCATTAAAGGGTTAAAAAAGTATATTTTATTTTCTTATGTGATTTGTATATAACCTGTGAAAACTGTTAATACATTTTAACTTTCATTTTTTTGTATTTTAAAACATGAACTTTATAATTTTTCTATCTTAAAACGTCATGCATCGACAAGCGGACGGGACATAACAAACACTATAGTGTTTGAGTTGAAAATTAGTTTTAAACAAGTAAAGAATTGCTAAAATATTAAGTGAGCCAATTATTGTAACATTGATGCCACTTTGGAATATCAAAGAATGCAACGTAAGGAATTTTTTAGTTCGTAAGTCATTTAATTTTATCATCTCGCTCAACAGTTATATTTATTTATTTAAATAACTTTGTTAATTAATAAATTATGAAAAATATGTTAGGAAGATATTTTAAGCTTCTCGTTATCCTGTATTTTGAGAAAAATACCAAACTCAATTATCTTCAACTATTTAAAAGATAAGGTCTTTTAAACTTTGGACTAACAAATTTAATATTGCCAAGTTTCAAACAAATCGATGAAAGTGCTCCGAAAAGTAATAAATTTATCGTGGACTACAACTTACAAAATAATAATAAATAATGAACTTGACATTTTCAGATACGGATATGCGGCTAATACAAAAATTAAATTTGTGATAGTTTTGCAGTCATCGAATGTAACGTTGAGAGATAACGAAGTCCGAATGGTAAGAAAAAATGTAATTCTTAATGTGTCTAAACATTCTTTGAATTTTAAGAAAATTATAATTATTCTGTTGCAGATTTTCCGAAAACTTCATGCTGCCTATTCAAATGCTGTATGTAATCCGTTTTACATACCTGGAGATCAAATTGATTCAAAGTAAATGCTTTTAATAATGAAGTAGAATATAACGATCACTTTGAACCAAGAAATTACGACAAATGAAAAACAGCCCGGGAAACCGAAAAATGACATAATTTTTTTTCTTGACCGAGAATTTTAATAGTTTTTAGTTAAAAGTGTTTTATTTAATTAAAAAAACTGGCATGTGTTTTGAAATTCGCACCTTTTAAATATAAATCATCGGAAATGTGCAAACGAAATTGATTTAGAACTTAAACTTAACCAAATGTCGGATTTTTCTCAAAATTCGGTAAATTGTAGTGATACTGGTGCTAAATTAGCGTATAAATTTTTAATATTTTTGTAAATAATTTACAATAACAAACTTTAACAATATTTTTTTGCTTTAATTATAACTTTTTCCTTACTAAAAATAGAGAAAAATGTTAAGAATGTTTTTTACATAAAAGACCTTAAACTTTAAGATAAACATTTTTTTAAATATTAATTTTTAAACAATTTGTTTATCATTTTTAAACTTGTTCTCCCTCTTTTTGAAGCGCGAAAAAAATCAAGAATATTGTATAAGGGGAGGTCCAAAATTTGAAATTTCTTTCTAGGGATTGGTTATGACTTATCGATCTAGTTTTTTTTCATAAATAAAGATAGGGAAGAGTGGAGTTGTGCACCGGGTTTTGTTTTTTGAACAAAACTATTATATAAAATTTTTTTGACTATTCCATTATATAGAACTTTTAGTACACGTACAAACACAACTTTTAGCATGATCAATTAATTAAAATTCAAAACGAAAGTAAAAATTTTGCTTGTTTTTCAGAAATATCCTCATTTTATATGAGGCATTTTACGTGTGATGTCCTAAGTTGAAAAATTGATTTCTCGAAAAAAGTGTAACTTTGGGGAAATTGTTGTACTACCTGATAATAAAATAACCCCAAAAAAATTTTGCCTTTTTTGAAATTTTGGGGAGATAGAGGGGGGTCAATTTTATCACTTTTCCGTGACACCGTCTACTATTTGAATTTTTGCTGTCTATAAATGCAATAAAAAAAAATGTTGGCAGGTATTTTTTTTGAAGGTTTTTTCATGCTCTTTCCAATGGTGAATTTTGTTTTTAAAAATTTATGAATTTTGACCTTCACTTTCTATAATTAAAAATAAATTTGCTATTTTCACTAAAATCGGTCCGTTTTTTTAAAATACATAATTGCAAACGAAAGCTGAGGTTTCTTCCGAACTGTATATAAATTTTCAGAATGCTGATTTTTTTTGTTTTCGAGATATTAAATGTCAAATATTTTATGACCGCGCGCGCCATTGTAAACAGCTACCGCGTCGCGGTATGAGTCGACCGCCTCGCCGCGCGCGCCTAATTAAAATCTTTGACATTTAATATCTCGAAAACAAAAAAAATCGGCATTCTGAAAATTTATATACAAATCGGAAAAAACCTCAGCTTTCGTTTGCAACTATGTATTTTAAAAAAACGGACCGATTTTAGTGAAAATAGCAAATTTATTTTTAATTATAGAAAGTCAAGGTCAAAATTCAAAAATTTTTAAAAACAAAATTCACCATTGGAAAGAGCATGAAAAAACCTTCAAAAAACATACCTGCCAACATTTTTTTTATTGCATTTATAGACAGCAAAAATTCAAATAGAAGGCGGTGTTTCAGGGAAAAGTGATAAAATTGACCCCCCTCTATCTCCCTCAAAATTTCAAAAAAGTCAAAATTTTTTTGGAGATATTTTATTATCAGGTAGTACAACAATTTCTTCAAGTTACACTTTTTTCGAGAAATCAATTTTTCAACTTAGGACATTACACGTAAAATGCCTCATATGTGGATTTACATGGGAACCTCCGTGGATTCTTATGTGGATCTGGGATTTCAAGTGGGTGTTTATAGAAAAACATCGTCAAAGACGTTCTCTTATTGAATCTCATGATGTACTTTTATGAATTTTAATAAAGTAAATATTTAAATAAATTTAAATTTCTTCGTTTCTGAAGAGGGCAGCTGTGCTGTTCAAACGTTAAAAAAATTGTTTTTATTTTGTCTTAATTCCTTGACTTCGAGCGATCATCATATTTTGCTTCAGTATTATAGACGACCAGGGAAATTATGGAACAAAAAACGCGATTTTTCAGTTTTTTCTTTACCAAAAATCTAAATTGTTAAATATTTTTTTTTAAATATTCAAATATGCTTCTGTCGGAAATTGTGCGACCTCTGCTTTTTCGATGACTACAAAACGGATTAAATCTTCAAAAATATTAAAACTGAAATTTGTTCCTCTTTATTTTCTAAAAGGTAATAAAATTCTGAATGAAATGACACCTTGACAAAGAGAATATGTTAATTATTGAATTAGATAACTAAAAAAAAACCCAATATTCAATGTTTTTACTATTATTTTTATTTATCTGGCAATAATTAATATTTTTCAACTTTCTTGAGCTCATTGGAATGGTATTTTGTTATACCATTTAAATTATTTAAAACAATTCATGTCCACATTCTTCCTTAGCGTATGCAAACCGTGAAAGTTGGCTCAAAAAAAGGCAAAAAATTATGATTAATATTTAAATGACAAAAAATGATCAGTAAAATGTGTAAATCTTAAATTTACTTACTTAAGTCAGAAAAGTTTAAGATGATCTATTTCTTGATTTTTAAACATTATATTTTGTTGTAGAATTGAATTTTAATTTTTTTACTTTTTTGAGCCCACTAGGAAAGAATGTAGACATGAATTGTTTTCAATAATTTGAATTGTATAACAAAATACCATTCCAATAAGCCCAAGAACTTTTAAAAATATTAATTTTTGACAGAGAAATAAAAAAATAGTAAAAATATTTAAAATTGAGTTTTTCTTATATATATAATTGAAAAATTAACATATTCTCTTTGTCAAGGTGTCATTTCTTTCAGAATTTTATTAGCTTTCAGAAAATAAAAAGGAAAACATTTTAGTTGTAATATTTTTGAAGATTTAATCCGTTTTGTAGTCATCGAAAAAGTAGAAGTCGCACAATTTTCGTCGGTAGTGTATATTGTGAACATCCTTCTAAATATTTCCTGCAAGTTTCATTAACAAAAATAAAATTTTTGGTGGAGCTATTTAAACTTAAATATTGTTCCATAATTGCCTTGCATTTTGGGCAATTATAGAAAAAATTGATATTTTAATTGTAATCGCAAGTATGACATATTTTTTTTATCTGTATATTAAGAAAACCATCTACAAATATTAAAGGATTTAAATTTATTCTTAATAAGCTCTTCAATTAACCTCGGAAAAAAGTTTTTAATTTAACATTCAAATTGTGTAAATATTAATAACTGTTATTTTTTTAGGCTGTTTCGCCTTGATCAAATTCAAACAGATTTATTCTATATTTGCTAACATAAAATCTTCATAAAAATACATAAAAACAAACCACTGAAACGTTAATTTTTATTCGTTTTTTTAAATACTCATTAAAAATGAGTGAACTAAACGCAAATATTCGCACAATTAAGTATAGTTACCGTTAATTCCTAATAAATTTTATTGAAAAGGTTTTCACTTTTTTGAAGTTTAACAATTTTTTTTTTTAGTTGCTAGTGACAATAAAAATAAAAACATTTAAGTTACTTTTTAGGCAAAATATTAAAATATTATTTAATCCTTTAACTGCCGATGGCAAAGATTTTGTCTGTCAAATCTTTGACATGGCAGTTAAAGTAAGAATCAAATTGAAACAATTTTCTAAAAAAATTGTACTTAAAAAAGTATTGCGAGTTTCATATATACCTCTGATGTTCCATAACTACCCCTGTCAACGATACAACTTAATGTTTTTAAATTTTATGTTATGGTTATATTACTTTGAAATTCACATTCTCCAAATCCATATTTTGTAAATTAATTATTTCTTCATTTCAGATCATTTGACTCATCAGTGATGTCAATAATGGGAATTGTATAATAATTAGGTATTACTTCATAGTTTTAAGAAATGTTATTTTTTATTTATTTATGTATTGTTTTGGAGAAATTTCATTATAATTCACCAAAGACATTGCTGCTGCCTATTTTGAAAAAAAATATGATACTTTGTAAAAAACATTTCAAATGATAAAATTCAATAAAAATGCAATAAACTTTAGAAAATAGAAATTTCTTCTTTAATAATTATTCACAACAGATAGTCTAAGTTATTTTGAGTCAGTTGGGGTAAATGGGGACAAAATGCCTATTTTTTACAAATTAGGTACGTAAGTTATGTACCTTCCTTTAGAAGGTAATATTTGCGGGTTTCTTTTGTAGTAAGTTGTTATTTACATTCCCTACACGGAGAGAAAAATCAAGACTTTATAGTATGAAAGACAATACTGCTACTCTGAAAAAAAAGTTAATTGAATCAAGTTGATGCATTTACTTGAGGTACTTTACTTGAAACAAGACCATATTTTCTTATTGGAAGAAATTTATTTTCTTGAGTCAAGTAATTTTGAGCATTGAGCAATGTTCTTGAAATAAGAAAATATGAGTTTCATACAAGTATATATAAGTATATATATAAGTATATATCTTACTGTTTCAAGCGAAATGTTTTACTTGCGTCAAGAACAGAGAAAGAATTGAGTCAAGAATATTATTTTCTCATGTCAAGTGATTTACGTTGAGTATACCCGACACTCGGGTTCAGTTCAAGTAAATATTTACTTGTATTGGAAAAATAAGTTGAACTCCATAAGCTTTCTCAAGTCAAGAAAATATTTTCTTGAGTTAATATATATATATGATCTTGACTTAATATATTTTACATTTCTTAGAAGTCAATAAACTTCTTAGACGAATTCCATATTTTCTTGGACCAAGAACATATGGTCTCCTCACAATATAAATACTATTTTGATTTAAATCTTGTCTTACTTGATCCAATATTGCAAAGATTTGAATGAATCAAATGAAACAATTGATTTGACTACATATATTCTCAGAACAAGAAAATATTTTCTTCCTTTAATGTATTTTACATTTGTTACAAGTTGATTAATATATTGCTCGAATTCCATATTTTCTTGGATCAAGAATATATGCTCTCGTCCCAAATATACTATCTCAAGACAATCGTTTACTTGAACCAATGCCGTAATTGACTTGTCCCTATTTAATTCCACGGTTTATTTGAAGCAAGTAAAATTTTCTTGATTCAATACTATTTTTTTTTCAGTGTACTTTAGTATGAACTTTTCTTACTAATGGAGCAAAGATTTGAGAATTTTTAGTGTAATATTTGTACGTACTAAAGATACATAGTATGTATGCTTCTATAGTAAGAAAAGTGTGTTTTAATAGCACTAACGCCGCTCGAAAATTGCACGTAACATGTCCTACTACGATTGCAGAAGTTCTATTGGGATATCCGCTGGGGGCGTGGCTTAGCATATTATCCTACATTCAGTAGTACCATTTTTCACCACTATGTCTGAAAGTTACTCTGATTGGTTTAAACTGGACAAAAATTGACAAACATCCTACTTTCAAGGGTTAAAAATGTTTTCAACAGAGAGCGCTTCACAGTAACGGACATCCCAATTCTGGTTCTATTCTTTTTCGGTATTAGACTCTTGCAATTGCCGATTAGGCCACGCCTACCTACTCGCCAGTAGACCTTTTCATGCTAATCATTCTGTTCCCTTCCAATTCAAGCGTCATTATATGCGCTAGATAAGGACAGAACGATCACCAGGAAAAGGTCTGATGCAAGAGTCTAATACCGAAAAAGCATAGAACTTCTGCAATCGTAGTAGGAAATGCCGCTGTATTTAAAGTATAATAAGTATACAATAAGAGAATATATGACAAACTTTATTAGCATAGACAAGTTTCATGGTAAAAAGTTATACGGTTATACTACAATTACTCAAATTTTACACCTATGTAGCATATACAGGGTGTTCCAAAAGTATGGAAACTTGCAAATATCTCGAAAAGTACGAATTTTTGTTAAAAATGTTCAAGACAAAAGTTATTCCAAACAAAAAGATGTACATCTGTGAAACAAAAAAATTGAGCCCGGAGCCCAATGTTGGGCCCTACAATGAAAAAAGTGGTTTTCTTAAATGAGACCACTAATTTTCAGTATCAAATTCGTATTCCCCATGAAATTCTGCGTTCAGACATGTGGTATAAGTGCCCAAAATATTGGGCCCAATCCAAGATATTGGGTCCAAAATTTATCAACAGATAAATAAATTTTAAAAAATCCCATCTTGGAGGGATTTTGAAATCACAGGATTAGGAATTGGAAGCTAATTTTCAAATTGGGCATGGAGCCCAATGTAAGATTCCACGGCCCAATGTGAGGCCCACAGTAAAAAAATTAGTTATCTTAAATAAAACCCATTAATTTTCAATCTCCAATTCGTAATCCCCATGAATTTCTGGGTTTAACTTATAGTAAAAATGACAAAAATGTTGGGCCCAATGTCTCGGATTAGGCCCAACATTTTTCGTTAAATAAATAAATTTAAAAAATCGCATCTTTAGGGGTTTTTGGGGTCAAAGGATTAGAAATTCGAAGCTAATTTTCAAATTGTACACAAAGCCCAATGTAAGATTCCGCGGCCCAATGTGAGGCCCATATTAAAAAAAATTAGTTGTTTAAATAAAACCCACTAATTTTCAGTATCCATTTCAGAATCGTTATGAAATTCTGGGTTTAGACTTGTAGTACAAAAGCCAAAAAATATTGGGCCCAATGTCTGGGATTGGGCTCGACATTTTTTGACAAATAAATAAATTTATAAAATCGCATCTTTTGGAGTTTTTAGGGTCACAGGATTAAAAATTCAAAGCTACTTTTCAAATTCGGCACAGAGCCCAATGTAAAATTCCGCAGCCCAATGTGAGGCCTGCAGTAAAAAAATTAGTTTTCTTCCATTTCGTAATCGTTATGAAATTCTGGGCTTAGATTTGTTCAAATTCCAAAAATATT